ACACACACACACACACACACACACACACACACACACACACACACACATCATGTAATTTTACATATATCCACTCCACATTTTTAATACTGGCTGTATTTTGCTGTTTGTTCCTTGCTTATAGGTTAACCTTAATTATTTATGTAATAGTTTTAACTTTACCACTGAATTTTTGTTTTGTTTCCTGATTTTCAAACTTGTTCCGCAAAGGAAGACCTGGTGTCTCATAATACAGGGTCTACCTAGTCTGAGCACCAGTCTTCCACAATAAGAAGTATACACTGTATTTTATGTACTAGATATAGGTTTTAACTGTGGAAGAGAATAAATTCATTATTATTATTATTATTATTCAAATTCATGATACTGTGTACATTTAGTAAATATTCAAATTCATGATAATGTGTACATTTAGTAAATATCCAAAGTCATTATGTAATATTTGAAATGATAATTACCAGTACATTTTACAATTATTATTATTAAAATTAACCCAAATCACTACACCGCGTTTAAATTATTGACTTATGTATTAAATCCATGAGTATACGCCCATATATTACTCATAGTACATTAATATATTAAAAAATAGTTATTATAGTTTATAGTAAAATATTACAGTGTGCTTAGTTTACTCTCCACTGCCAATGTACTCTTTCGACTTCTCTTCCACCAATTCGTTTTTACCAAAAGCTTGGAATTCTCTATCTTAAGCAAAAAATGACTTGACTGCTTTTAAATTTATAGCAAATATTTTGTTTTTTATTATGGCTCAGTGTTTCTTTATTTTTTATACAAACAAACAAAATCGTACAAGTTATCCATACATTGTCGCTGTTTTCAAAGTACGCATTATTATTATTATTATTTTATAACAGATTTTGTATGACGTATCTCGAGTAGTTGTAATGAAACTGCCACGAAACAGTAAATATAATTTATAGCTGTACTAATATTGTCGTACGGGAAACGGGTAGTTGTTTTTTAAAATGTGCCTACTTGAAATTTCATAGTCTTAAATATTAAAAATGTAGAAAAATCGCATTTAGAAAAAGAACTACAGTTTGTTACTGGAAAACACAATTACATATGTGCGTTTATATTCACTAGTTGGTGTTGGCGAATAAGTACTTCAAGTCAATATAGAACCAATATTATCCATACAAACTGTTATCCCCTGTTTCACCCCCTTTAAGATTAATTTTTGTGACAAAAAGTAGCCTAGGTGCTTCTCTTAGGTCCTATCTATCTCTATACGGAAATTCATCAGTATTGGTTAAGCGGTTTAGGCGTGAAAACGTGATAGACAGAGTTACTTTCGCATTTATACTATTAGTTTGGACTACAAAAAGAAGATTATTTTGATACTACACCCAATTGGGCTATTCCAGAGCAAGACCTAAGTAAGGGACACATTTTTCAGCAGAATTATTTGCCGATCTTTGCCTTCGAAGTAGCCAAAAAAAAGACGGATAATGCCTAACCCGAATATCCTTTTCCAACAGCTGCTTCCAGAGCTACAGCGAATCAGACGCAGAGTGTCCTGCCTGTGTGGGTGCACGTCGCAGCAGCAAGCCGCCGCCTCACGCGGCGGAAATGCTACACGCGAGGTTGCACCAGGAGCATGACCCGTAAGTATAATACAACTCACAGAACAATAAATACAGTAGAAAAGTTTAGTTAGCGTCTGACGCGTGGCGACTGGAGCTCAGTCCGCTATTTTCGCTTTGTACGGTATGGTTGTGTTATTATTTCGTGCAAATTCTATAAAATCCTAAAAAAAGTGCCTTATTGTGCTGTTTTGGAGTGCAAAACTGATAGCCGCAACTAAAATATCACCCGTGGTGACATTTCGTATCACCGGAAAGTTCTATTTTAATAATTTTTTAATTTCTGTTTATGGAAATAACTCTTTTGTTACGACGAAAACGAAAATAATGCCCCTGCAATATGGTCGCTTCTTGTTTGGAGAACTAAATTAATAACTCCAATTCGTCGTCGTTTAGCAATGAACCTAGATGGCAGCACATTGATTAAAGTTTCAATTATAGTATCAAAACGTCGTAACTTGTAATAATAGGTATTGAACTTTCAACAGTATGCCAACAGGGTAAAGTTTAAATTATATTAACAATCCAGAATTTATTATTTCTTTTTAAATTTGAAACTACGATCAATCAATATCAAGATTGAGTAGTGGTTCAAATTAATAATGTGTGAGTTTTAATAATAGTAATCGAGGCTTACACTGCATTATACTCCGCTTTTTGACAAATTACAAAAAAAACGTAACCAAGAAACAGTGATCATGAACCGTTTACTTCATACCACAAATTACAGTGAAGGAAAATATCGTAAGAATTTATGACAAACAACTTTTACAAATAATATGATAATCACTCGTCTGGGGGGCGGGTCGGAGGACAACTGACATGCCCCTCCGTTGGCGCGGGAACCCTAGCGCAAGCTAGGGCAGCCGGGCGGCCTCGTGGTGAATGTTCACCGACCCCACGGCGCCGACTCAACCGGCGGGAGATAAACCCGGGGGGATTTTAGTGAGGTAAGCCCTCCAGTCCGGAGGGAGAGTCCCCACATAACCCCTGAGTCTCCATGGGCTCAAAAGTTTAAAGATTTCCCCCGTCAAAAAAAGGACCTCCATCTGCTACGCTCCTGTCTAGCACATCATCGTGTGCAGTCAAAAGAGCACATCAAGCTTGACGGTTTCAACTTAGATCATTCTTGGCATAGAGATGAATTTAATTCGTAAGGGCCAAAGAATACTTTTGTCAATATCGTCGCGTTATTGCGATCGATTTTCGCACATTTCGCGGAAGATTTTGGCTCGTATCTCGTCGGCTTAGTGCAAGAAGTCATTAATTGCCATATAATTTATATCTAAAAAGGTCAGTAATCTACTGCATTTTTTATATGGACAATTAGAATTACTTTAAAAGCCAACTTCGACTTCCTAGGTCGGTCGTTTTGTCTTACGGTGCAGTAAAACCAAAGCCGGAATTCGAAAAAGTAATTAACTAATATTTGGTGGTTTTAACAACTCTATGTCACTCCTTGTAGCTGTATCTATAAATGCATCTATTTATGTGGAACACCTTTTTCCGACCATTGCTTATAACCCCACATGAGTTGCAAATGTAATTAACAATAGCCTTGTAGTAATATCACACTATAACATGGCGGTGTTGTCACAGCTGAACTGAAAGAAATGTAAACACGATCGAATTCAAGTATAACATTACACCAACTTATTTACGAACTAAGACCGTATTGCCATGTAATAAAAAATTATCACTTGAATTAGACACGCGCTCGCGTGTTGTATTAAATGCAATAACGTCACAAAATTTCCTTCATAATGTTATTTGTTTTACTATAATTTAATGTTTTGTTTATTTAAAACATGTTGGTCGAAATTATAGTGGAGTACTCAGTATATTGGTATGTTAATTTTGTTATCTAATTCAATGTCTGTACGGACGGCAGCAAACTCACGTTGTCGGATATTGTTCCTATAGAGTTAGTAGGTTTTCGCGATTGTTACACATAGAAAATTAAAATATTTTTTCATGACCATGGGACCTGTAAAGGGCCCGAAACGATGGTTTGTTTTGAAAGAAAAAAACAAATATACGCGAAAACTATTTTTTTCAGATGTATATGAAAAAGTAGTTTCATTTATTATGAATATTGTCCCGTTATTCTAGAGGCGTTAATTTAGAAAAAATGAAGAGTTAAAAGTACGTACGAAATAAAATAACATTAAAACGAAATATAAACATAAAAAAATTAAAATTAACACGAAAAATAATATGTTGTTACCATGAAAAGGCTGCGACTCGGCGTAATGCCAGTCTAGAGAATGACGCTGATCGTCTGTCGCATTCTCATATAATATAAAATGTGCAATGTAAATCGTTGAACTTTATCGGAACGTTGTTTATTTGTTTCTACAGAGCAGCAGTAGGTGGCAACTACACAGAAAACACTTGGAAATCACACTGTAAAGCCCGTAGTTGGTTCTTTGAGATCCATATAGCAAAACGGGTACCCCGTACTATCATAATATTTCGATATTTAATTTTAATTACATTACCGTAAAGTATGGACAGTAAAGTGGAGGCCATACCGCGAACGAAACTAGCTAACTTAGCTCACGTAGTTGCATGCAAAGCTAAGCTAAGAAAATACGTTGTAATTATTGACTATGGATACGTGTGGGGGTGAATGGCGGTAGAAAGACGACATATTTTACATAGCTAGCGGGATCGTTGGGTTTATTTAGTTAGCTCGGTTAGCTTAGTTCCCGGTGTGAACTGAAGTATGAAAAGATGCCCCGGCTACGTGAGCTAAATTAACTTTGCCTCGTTGGCGGTGTGCCTTGCGCATAAAGCCCGTAGTAGCTTTTTTTGAGATACCGTATCATATTCCGATATTTACTTTTAATTAAATTACCGTATAATATGGACAGTAAGTCCATGAACAGTTAAAATACATATGTTACAAGTGAATTTGAGTTACACCGAAGCTTGTAGGCTTCGGAAAATAGTAGTGACTTGATTGTATAAAACGTACGATTCTGATGACGTTTTCATTAGTACATTTTCCACTTCGTTTATAACATTGAAATCAGTAGTTATTATTGCAAGTATTAGTTCCTCCTGAGACCGTTAGAGGCGCTGTACAATACAAAATTGACAAGTAAATGGTTCGAACGGTAACTAATGTTAGTTCAGAAATATCACGTCACCTGTTCGAACAATGGAACACAATATTTTCACACGTTATCAATACATTTATCTGTAGTTATAAAATAGTTATCGCTTTATATTATCGTCGTGCAGTTCGGCATACATTGTACCGCAGTTATGTTGCCGCCATTCTCGTGGTGCTTTGCAAATAGTTCTGATGAAAATTATGAGGGGTAATGACGGTATTTGCATGAGTTTTTTTTTATTGTACATTGTTTTTATATTTCAATGTGACTTGATTGTGTTTGTAAGTTTTGTGCGGCGGTCACGTGTTCATTATATTTTGTATTTCCGTATGTTCAGTTTTTATCATGCCCTTGTTTTGAATACTACTGTTTTAAACAGTCGAATGCGATATAGTATATAATTATGTATACAATATAGAAGTCGATATCGTTAAGTTTTACTCGTTTATGAATCTGTAGTTATATTGTATATTCCCTGTTTTTGGACTCGTGTTTGTTCATTAAAAGATTATAACGACCTCGGCGGCGTAACGATTTGCTCTATAGTCGATAGATGAGGAGATCCCGGCTTCAATTCCCGATGGAACCCTAACCCTTTTTTTATATACTATACACTGTCAGTTTACACAGACTTCATCTGGTGCTCAAAAGGCTAGTGCCTTGGGTGAGCGAACCCGGGTGCACGTACAGCAAATTTTAGCAGCAGTAGACCTCCTTGTGAAAGAGTTCGTCCAGGGAACTACTGCCACCTTACCTATTTCTGCCGCCAAGCATTTCGGTTTTGAAGGGTAAATAAGGGTGAAATTACAGGCACATGGGACTTGTCAACTTATATCTCACGGTGACGGGCACAGTGGCATGTCCGCTCAGATCTTTGCGATTTAAAGCTCTGAGTGGCACTGCAATTGTTCTGGACAGGCTTGTAGTACCATCATGTGAACGACTTATTCGTCTCTTGTCACTTGACTCAGAAGCGTCTCTCCCATTCCAAAATACCTAAGCGGCTGGAGGGACCAGAGGATACCCAGCCCCCGATAAGACCAATTTCATAGAACCATTTTAGTAGCAGTAGGTCTCCTTGTGAAACAGTTCGTCCAAGGAAGTACTGCCATTTTACCTATCTGCCACAAAGCAGTAGTGTGAGCATTACTGCGTTCCAGTTTTCAAGGGTAGAATTACTGGTGAAATTACAGGTACATAAGACTTATCAACTTATGTCTCAGGGTGACAGGCTATTTGCGATTTAAAGCTCTTTCTGGCACTGCAACTGCTACGGACAGGTGTGTCACTTATCACCGGGCGCACGACTTGTACGTCCCGTCACTTGGTATGGTAAAAAAAAGAAAAAAGTTTATTTGGGTTTATATTCGTGGGTGGGTTTATTTCTTGACTTTTTTGAATAGCTGTGAATACTGCTTGACAAACTTACAGACTTCGTATGCATGGTAACGTCAACGTAGAATAATTAACTAATAACTAATTGATGTTTCTATGAAATGCTAATTTTCTTCAAAAGCAGCATCTTTTCAATGTATTGTTTGTTGTTACAGGTACGCAGTGGTATCAGAGTACTTCGGGCGCGGTCTTTTTAACAAACTGACGGTGGTGACAAGCGAGGCTGTATCGGAACCCCCCTTACCCGCGCAGGCCCCTACCCCCGCGCCTACGCCTGCTGCAGCGCCGCCCGCGCAGACCTACGGGCCAGGCGCGGAGGCCAAGCTCAGACTGCAGGAAGGACAGAGTAAACAAGGTAAGTTTAAAGATTCTAAGACTTTCGTGATTATTCACTAAATAATTATCACTTATTACAGGTTTCTTAGAAATATCGGAAGATTATTTTTTAAACAAAGTTTAGCTTCAGTCCACAAATTCGTGGTTAAGTATTAAGTATCGGTTACTATATTATGTATCATCGGAAAGTCTTATTTTAATATTTTTTTAAATTTCTGTTTATGGAAATAATTCTTTTGTTACGACGAATACGAAATTATAGCCCCTGCAATATGGTCGCTTCTTGTTTGGAGAACTAAATTAATAACTCCAATTCGTCGTCTTATTTCTTTTTAAATTTGAATGTATGTTACTATTTCATTTTAAAAAATGTACAATTATTGAAATGTTTGGCTCATGATATATATAAATACCGATCTTCCAACGTACTGCTGCCTCAGTGGCTGAACGGTTACCATTCTGGTCTGCCACGCAAACGTCCTGGGCTCGATTCCCGGGCCGGGAGAAATATTTGTATGAGCCTACATTTATTCCTCTCGTGAGTTGGGGTGTAATTTGTGGTTGTCTATGTGTATGTCCATGGCACCCGCGACACATGGTTTCCTTAGTGGGGGGACAATGAGTATGTGCGGTATTATTATGAATAAATAAATGAATGAATGAAATATTTTTATTGCACAGTAAACTTACAATGTCAACACAGAACTGTAATGTAAGTATCACAGAGTAAGCCAGTATACAACAGGCGGCCTTATTGCTAAGAAGCAGTTTCTTCCAGGCAACTTTAGGGTGGAAACTTAAGGGTCGTATTCTAGAACTCTACTCAATGCTCAAGTCAGGATTTGAGTGTGGTTTAAAGCACTCGAAATCGTACTCAAGTCCCTGCCATTAGGGTCGTATTTCCAGTGCTTGTGTTTCCAGTGCAATCCTGACTTGAGCATTAAGTAGAGATCTAGAATACGACCCTAAGAGTTGGAAAGGGGGGTGCAACCAATTATTGTACTCTCATACTGACGACCCCGACACGATGAGTACACGCAACCTTCTGATCTTAGTGCACTTAAAACATTCCTAGATATACATAATACAATATGGAATGCTACATATGGCCTTTCTCGTATATTTACTATTCCACCTATAAATTTGTTTCGCTATGAACAAAAAATATTGAAAAAATTTGCCAATTCCCTGATTCTATTAAGTGCTACTACAAGAAAAAGTTTTGGTGAATACCTTTTTCTTGGAATTATAAATTTGTTCTACAAAATATTTCATATGACCTCCCAAGATCCAGCAAACTATTTACATTGATAAAACTAACGCCCAATGTACGGACAACGGCACATCATACATTTTTGTTCGAAAATCGTCTCCATTGCAACGGAACAAGATACGTCAACGTGTAGCTTGATGTGCTGGCGTGTGTACATTAAATGCACTAAATATAATTACACGCTACAAGTCTAAACAAATATGCCTTCAGGTTTGTGTGAAAAACGTATTTTCTATATATCCTTTATATGGAAAAGGAATAGCGCTAATATTTTCATTGGGCGTTTACGTGATCATAGGAAACGGGGTCTTAAGAAGAGAATAAAAAATTAAGTAATATTTGATCTTTCTTTCTTCCAGTATATTTAACAAATACAACAAAACAAGCCATTGCAAAAGGCACACCCATCACTCCAGTCCCGGAAGGCAGAATGCGATTGCTCGAGCAGCAGCAACGATACAGCTCCAGCTTAGAGGCTAATTTGAACAAACTAGAACCCAGAGTCCACACCATCGCAAAACAATCACCTTTAGCTTCACCAATGCCATCTAGAGATATCGAAGAATCAACGAGTAGTGGTGCATCACCGAAAATATCCTCAGCTATATCGAACTCAAAAAATCCCTTCGAAGAAGAAACTTACGATGAATCGAAAAATCCCTTCGCGGACGATGAGGGTAGCAACCCTACAAATCCGTTCGGCGACGACGCTGATTATGATAAAAACCTGAACCCGTTCTCTTGAGTATTTCAATGTTTTGTATTTTATATTTCAATGATAGAAAATAAGCTATTGTGTGCAGGTAACTGCGTGGTTCAACCGTCTTGACGTTGTTACATTCTTTTGAACTCTGAAATGGTGACTTTTGTTGCTTTTGACACAAGATAACATTGTCAATACAAGAAAATAGTTTTATATATAATTTGGAACTTGTTTCTATAAAAGTTACAATTTTTTTTTTTGTATTTGTGTGTTGTCTGTTGCTATAAATTACCCTCTCAGCGAAGTGTATCGAAATTAACCGGGCAAACATTGGCGGAGTCCTCGATTGTATCGATGGAGCTATAACACTATAAAGAAGAAGTTTACAATTATAAACTTACGCCATGGTCTTAAACCTAACTAGCAAAGCCTTATTGTACGATCTGTCCATACAAATTTAGCCAGGACAGTCGTCTGCTCGCGTCAAAGGTTTAGTCAGGACTGCTCGCGTCATTCCTTTTTTCAAAAGAAAGTTAAAATTTCGAATTTTTAGGTAAAAACACCTGGACCCGTACAGCACCGCACAAAGCAAGTTTTCTAATCAGAAACATCAAATTCGTATCATTGTATCGCAGCCTTTGGTGTAATAGGCCACATCTGCAAAATAAAGGTTCAAAGATTCTAAAAACGAAAATTTTGTCGATAACTTTTTAATACTAAATGGGAGACGTACATAATATGTGAAAATTCAGAGCTTCAAATCGCAAAGGTCAGGGGGCCACTGACACTGTGCCAGTCACCCTGACAAATCCCATGTGCATGTAATTTCGCCACCATCCATACCCTTCCAAAGCAGAAATTGGCAAGGTGGCAGTATTTCCCTGGACGAACTCTAACAAGGAGCTCTACTCCTGCTAAAATTTGTTTCTTATATTCGTATTATATTTAGGACTTTCTTGTAATAAAAACTATTTTTGACTAATGATTACTTGGTTTTACTATACCGATATGTTGCGGTAATGTAAAGAACTAAATTCATCATAAATCAACCCACGCCGCCATTTCAGTGTCCAAAAGATATTACTATTGGTTGGACAAAGAGTACCAAAGACAGCATACCACCTATCAGATACCTTAATCATCTAATTGGAAATTCAATAACAGTATGAATATTGAATATCATGATATTTTTACTAACATGATTAAGTTTATAGAATGTCACGATGTTTAACCACCATGATATTGCAGCTTGTCAATGTAAAACGTCTTAGTTACGAAAATATCTGTTTGGTACTCGTCGCGACATCTAGTTCACCAATGGGTACTAAATACTCGACTACATTGTCTTGTATCGCGATTGGTGATGAAATTTTGGGCAAAAAATCACTTTTGACGGAGACCTCATCTTAACTTGCCAGTGATCTTACAAATTAGTGAATTTAATACAAATTTTTGCTGAAACATGCACTCTGGTCTTTGCCAAGATCTATTAAAACGATCAGCTTCATGTAAGAAACGCTCTTAATATCACTGTTTTTTTACGAGATCGTATGCCTTAGCATATAAAATTTACTTTGTTAGAGGCTTGTTTTTTTATTATACGTTATTACTATATATGTATAAGAGATACGCCATAGTGCAGTCGATTCTCTCTGTATATTTGTAATTAATTTGATATATGGAAAATTGTCACTTGTTCTAAGGAATTATAGAAATCTAATTTAAGAAACAAAACTCTCTGCAAATATTCTAAGACTCAATTTACACTACTGCGAAACTGAACAGAAGTGAATTTTTCGAACGAAAGTCTTTTTAGTCAATAAACAGATCTTCTGGAGAATTCTCGCGCAGTTCCAGGAATTCCCACAACTACTATCAATCAAACTAGAATGAACCATGTGACACTTCATTTCACATATATATTTAATTTTTGAAGCAAAGATTCTCTCATACACTTTTATTTTTCTAATGTATTCTGAACGATGTTATTAGTAACATGAATGATATTAGTAATATTGTCCTGCGAGGTTGTTAAAATTTCAGAACTGTACAGAGCAAAATCGACCTTCTCATTGAACTAAAAATCATGTAAATCGCTTCACATTCCTCCCATATAAATGATCTACGTTAGTTAAGGCTATAATAATTAATTGATTGTATTATATTTTATACTGTATCATTATTGTCCTATTAATAAATATTTATAAACATAGCTGAGTTTTATTACTATGTATTTTTGTTGGGCATTCACGGTTATTAACATTAAAGCGCAGGCCACACCGCGAACGAAGCTAAGGTAACTTAGCCCACGTAGACGGGATATCTATTCATACTTCGGTTCATACCGCGAACGAAGCTAACTAAACTAACCCAACGATCCCGCTAAGCTATGTAAAATATGTCGCCCTTCTGCCGCCCTTCATCCCCACACGTATCCATACTATTGTCATGGTTGGAAATGAAGCTATTCCGGATTTAAATCGCGTATATTTTTTTCAAACAAACCGACGTTTCGAGCCCTTTACAGGTCCCATGGTCACGGTTGACATAGTTCCTTGCACGCGTATTTTTTTAGCTTATCTTTGCACGCAGCTATGTGAGCTAAGTTAGCTTAGCTGGCATAGTTGGTATGCAACTGCTCTGAGTGGCACTGCAACTGTTATGGACGACGCCGAACAGCGCACGAGTTGTTCTTCCCGTCACTTGATATTATAAAAAAAAAACTACGTGGCCTAAGCTAAATTAGCTTAACTTCGTTTGCGGTGTGTCCTGCAGTTTAGAGAAAATATTCTCAGTACATGAAGGTAATTATCGCTAGCGATTGCATAAAATGTGTCAATTTTGTATGGAAAGTTACACAGCATCTCCTAACGGTCATAAGAAGTAACATTTTGTATACAAATCTTTTTTCACGTTGTCGCTAGCGACGATTGATACTGCAAATTCATGGTAGATGTACGGTTCATGTCAAAAATTACAGTTAAAATCATTACTTTGTCGCTTATCGGCACCATTTTTCAATTTCAAAGCCCACAGGGTGTAGCTGAATTCGGATTTCTGACGGTGTTGTTTGTGTAGTTGCGTTGTTGTTGTTTATTTTATTAATTTTATACGGAGGGACAATCGGAAAATTAACTGCCTGAAAACAATTATTCAACACAAGCGCAACTATTTTCCACGATTTAACCTTCACTGGGTTGACAAGTTTCTTCACTTGAGGGTCGTAAAGTAATTTACTTCAATTACATGCACATCGCAATATATTAAATATTCGCCATTTTTGTTATATTAAACATCTAAACTGAACACCTACTACAGCCTCAAGGCGCAGCCGCGAGATCGACGTGAACCAGGCGAAATTGACGCTTTCACCCTTCCGTTCCGTGTCAATGTAAATTAAGCGTAATTCACTTTTTACTTGACTAGTCAAATTTTAAATTTTCCTTTATACTTTATTATACCATAATCGAGTATTTGAAATTTGATTAGCCAATTCATAACGTATTTTCCATTCCATAACAATACATTACTTGATTGACAGGTTTGTACGAATATGAGTAATATATAATAACGTTACATTGAAATATGAATTTGATGGTTGATGTATTTTGTAATTCATACTTTTTCAAATACTTTCAACGATTGTAGCTTGTGTTTTAAATAAATAAAGTGAGTCGTGTTTCTTTTTTTAATATATTATTTGAAAGTTAATTTTTGTATTTCGCATCATAAATACATTTATTTTATTTATAATATTTGGTAATTTATATTTTAATTAAGACGTACAATGTTATTCACTCAGCCTTAATGATACTAGAATAAGGCAGGTTATGGTGACGTTGGAATACGTACCATCGCTAAAGCACTGTAGCTAAATTTTCAATAATGTGATTTTTTTTAATGCATATACTAGGGAAGTTATGCAAGGTTTGTATTCAAAAGAAACAATGATGTGGAAATTTTCAAAGCATTTTATTTATGACCTTTAACACTGTGTATAATATAATTTGATAGTACATTTAGAGCAATGAGTAATATTACCAATCATTACATTGTTCTTAATTTCATAAATTGAATGAAATACATAAATTATATATAGAATATATAATTTTTCATATATCATTCTCACCCAACAATCAACAATCACTATCGAAATCACAAGATGGGTCGTGTGTCGTGCTATACCTGCGCACGCGCATCCTCTGCCCGGCGCAGACGCGCTCGCAAACACCTCAGTATACGATAAAAGCATCAAACAAAAACATTTCATAAATCCTCTATGGGACAGCCATCAGAATCACAAAACTAAAATAAATTACAAGAATTAATTAACGTAATTATACAAAAACAATTTTAGTCCTATAAAAATAGCGGTATAGCTAAAGTACATTATATAAAAAATATATAATTCAGCCATAGCTTTTCTCTCTAATTTAAAAGGTCGTTTTAATTACAAAAACTGTTACAATAACAACTCATTAAGAAGCTTTGCAAAGAAATTTCCAAAAAATCAGATTTGATTCCATCCACATCGAAACACATTCGCGATTTGCATTATTCCTGCTCTATTTATCTACTTAAACACCATTTTGCTATGCAAAATACATTACCCTAATTATTTGAGAAAGGAAATAATTTACAAACTTTGGAATGTATATAAAGTGACTAGAAAAGAAAAGTATATAACCATCTCAAGTAAGATCTTTGTTGGTTTAAAACTTATGACAAAAGACATAAACAGCGACGACGGTGTCAAAGATGCATACTATATATTTGTAGATTCATTCTACTACATTCACATTCATTATATTGAAAATAAAATAATAAAGAGCGCACCGTCAAATACAATGGATGATTAAAATATGTTTATATATTTGACATTGCGCTGCTAACTGCAACTGTAGGCTAGCCGCATAAAGTTGATATTATATTGTTCCGACTCAAAGGTGTCGTTCAAAACATTGTTTCTACCCATTGACTTACAAAAGTCAATGTTTCTACCTGTCAAATTAACGTGAAATGAGATTTCACCTTACGCAATTAACCTGATGGAGTACCCGATAATAATCCCATTCCAAATTCAAAGAACATTATAAATGTCACACACACAGCATGTCTAAATTTTGGATAATACTTTTTTGATCTTACATCTATTTTATTCTAGACTATATTATTATCAGGATATTCTCTAGTGTAGCAGAGTATAGTCTACATCAGTGTATTAAGCTGGTGACTGGACATTTCAAGAAAGCAATTTTTATTTTAACTGCAACTCATGTAAGTACCAAATGAACTAGAAGTTATTTACATGAAGACTAGTCACATAAGCTTATAATTTGCCGATAATCAATACATCTATTTTCGCTCGTTAAATTCCGAATGAATTTGAAAATAGTCACCTAAAAGCGACAGTAATAGTGACAATTATTATATTCAACATTTATTGAAGCGGTAACGAGATTAAGAATTGTTTTGGACTTACAACAGACTGTTGATATCAAAAGAAAGACAACGGAATGTCATCCATATAAAACTAGCCTCACATCAATTATCTACCTACAATGTCATACGGTCAACCGGGGTAAAATAGTATTCTTCAAAAGTAAAGAAAATTGTCACATTTTAACAACTGTTGCCCATTTCTGACACCACAGGGCAGCAGTGTTAATGACCGTTTTCTGCCAATTAAAAAAAAATAACAAAACGGTAGACGAATTTACCCCGATGGACAATAAATGTATTTCAGTACAAATACTAAGTGACAATGGACCGGTGAATGTGAATAATTAACATACTACGTGGTGATTGTTCGCGGCACAGCATGTATTGTAATAACGTATGTAGCTACCTCTATCACATACTATGTAACATACAATGCGAGGACATGACTAGACGCGGAATGTACCCCTGTGTTCACTAGTATAAAAGCGTTTAAAGGTGTTAAGTTACCCCACTAAAGAGGCAAATTTTTGTACCTTTTGTATTCTTAAGAGTATGTCGATAGTATACTAGTGATCCAAGAGTAGCTTGTTCATCGCTCGTCCTGAAAAAAATCTGGAATTAATACACTACATCGGTAACACCACATTAACCTACTTTATACAATTCATTCAAATTATTTAAAATTAGAAAAAAAATACGTTTGTTACAACATAAAAAATAACATCTAAATAAACCTGGAACTACAAAATATCAGCGTACAATTGTTATATTTCTTTTGAACGCGTAGTCTACATTAACTACTTGGTTTATAATTATGTATTTACAATCGATACTAATGTGAGAAGTAACTTTACGTATGACGTTATACGGACTACGGCCACATCTTAGAAATTGGCCTTTGAGCCTCAACATATATATACTCTACCGTTCGGGTCATACGTATATACAAGGTAAATTACATTAATAAATGTATCCAACATCAGAAGAAAATCTTTAATAAGTATTTTCAGTAATTTGTCTCCTCACATTCACATTAAATTCTTATATTTCGCCTTACAAAATGGAGTCTATGGAACACCGCCGACATGTTACATTTGTGCGCAGCTATCATTAGACATTTACAATTTATTGCGTAAAAATTATTACAATCTTATTCCACCAGTTACATTCTCATACGAATATTGTTACAAGACAAAAACTATACAAATACATATAGATGTAAAAATCCGTAAAGACAACTATAGATATTGCAACTTAAGCCAAACCATCTTGACTCCATGCGGTTCGTTACAAACTTTGGTTTACGTTACAATGGTCTGTAGACCTTACATTGTCTAATGCGTTACATAAATATACACTAAATAAAAAGGGGATAAACATCGGGCATCCTTTATAAATATTGAAACAGCCTCATTTTTTCTCTAATCATACATTATTGTTCTGTATTTTTCAATTTTTCTCTGTAAATATTTTCTATTTACCCCGTTCTTCCGTGTTCGGTGCACCGGTTTGGTCCCATCTACTCATTACGACCTTCGATTGTTAAAATTCTCGAATTAAAACAATATAACGACACATTATAGATAATATTATTTACGTATAAATCGTATTTTGCATTTAATGCATTTGGTTTCGATAATACTGCTAAACATCAGAGATATGCTAAAGTAATTGATTCTATGTTTAATTTTCGCATTTAGTGATTGCTATTGCACTATGATAATATGGGTGAAGCTCATTCACATTTACCAGGGTTTCCAAAATTCCCTGGTCTTTGGTTGACAGCTACATCCCACCAAACCAGCCACAGATACTGCTCCTTTATGCAGACAACTGATGATATTTTGTCGCAAGTCATTAACCAGATTCAACAATACAGTCGTGTATTGTTTTCGAATTAGATTGGTATTGTGAACTTTCAATCCAAACTACACAAATATGAATATAACAATGTCACGAAGTTCGATCATCGTCAAAAATTATTAAACGAAGTATTACATTGTATGTGTAGATTATTGTATACCCACTACATTTCTTAAACATCGGACCCGAAATTCGACATCTATTAAGGGTGATCGCACATTAGTCAGTGATCTCGTATCAACGTTTAGAGGTGTTTCAATACCTGGGCATCGGATGCGCGGTGTGTAACGCCCTGTGCGCGGTTAGACTGCCGGCGTCTGTGACGCATTTAAAAAACGAGGATAGACTCCATTGTGAGGTTGTCTCATGCTTCTTGCGCAGTGCGGTCGCCGGCCGCGATGGCACCGCCCGCGCCGCGCCGCGCTGACCGCGACCTGTGTGCACACACCTTTACACGTGTATATTGACAGGAGCCAGGGTCATCCGTTCAAATCTATACTAATCTTTATACTATTTAATTAAATTAATTTCAAACTAAAATTTCAACAATTAAAAGCTTGAAAAGGTAAGATTGACGAAATAAAAATGCGCAAGACAGTGTTTGTGGCAGTAATTAAGAAAAGTAGAAGAGAACGGATATGACACAATGTGGCAAAGTATAATCGAATGAACGCTTTAAAACTGAACTAATTACAGTTTCAAATCTAATTAATGAAACAGTGCCCTTACCATGAATTTACAGTGATATACTGCCCTCTTTGTCATAACTAACGCTTTTGCATGTCGTTAACTTTCGAGATATTGGCACCTACAATTTTATTGTCATGTAAAAAAGTCACGCTGATTATGCTTAACATGATTGGCGTCTTCTGGGTGAGCTCGTTTCATCGTAGATCCTATCTCCAGAGCTAGGTAGTGGTCAAGAGCAAGATCAATTAATTTAAAAAAATAAAATTGAAACTAAAGAAGACATAAAAATAGCTTATAGGGGGTTGTAGGTCCCATTTTGCGGGTTTCAGACGTCGCACACTTCCACACCATCTCAACTCAAAAAATGGCAAAGTAGCAAGTTCATACTTTGACGACCTCCGTGGTCTAGTGACTTGCACACGTGTTTTCATGGTGTCGCCATCTCTGAGGACGCGGGTTCGATTCCCGACCGGGTCAGTGTAGAAAACTAACTTTTTTATATTATATCTGAGTTTTGTGGTACCGTCGTTGTTTCTGATTTCCATAACATAAGTGCGTTAGCTACTTACTTTGGGATCAGAGCAACGTATGTGATGTTGCTTAATAATTCTTTATTTCCTCCACAAATTTGCACCAATTTCAGATGGCATAATTGTAGTATATACAGGATAATTTGTAGAGGCTGGAACCTAAACTAGGATACCCTGTATTTTGGGCCACCAGAACTCCTGCTAAAGCAGCTACTTACTTTGGGATCAGAGCAACCGTATATGTGATATTGTCTAATATTTATTTATTTAATTATTTATATATCTCGGTTATGTTTTCGACTAAATGCTCTTCTGATTGCCTTTTTCTTTTAATTTTTGTACCGGATACGGGGGAAGTTTCTCTTTACAATGGAGATTTTTGACTTGTGACACTATTGTAGTAGGTGTGCCATATGTTAATAACTCAATTTCGTTAAAAATGTTGATTACGTTAGTTACGATAACTAAGGCGTTCCTATGAATGAAACAATTTTTTAAAGCTTTTTTCTTTTGACTGACCAAAGCACATCATTCAAATTCGTTTGTTTCAAGCTCTATTTTTTCACATCTACATTATAAACAACGCCGAACAACAAACTTTATTTGTTTTGATATAAAACAATAAATCATTTTGTTGATTGAAGTGTTTTAATATGCCAACGTTAGAACTTTTCTGACAATATAAGTGTTTTCAACAATTCTGCCCATGAGGTTAAGGATATGATAACCATGGACCAATAAATACGAAAAGAGGACTGTTAATTGCGATACAAGACAACGTAGTCGGATATTTAGAATCCATTGGTACACGAAATGTCGCGTCGAGTACTAAACAGACATTTTTATAACTAATTTGTTTTATATTGACAAGCTGCAATTTATCAAAGCTACTCTAGTTTCTAGTGATAACAAACAAATCAACTAGAAGGCGGTTTTTGCACAGATTTTTATGTATAGTGCCTATTCTTATATTTGGTTTAGGATTAGCGCCATCTACCCATATTATTGGTGACTGTGCTTCCAGGCTATTATTGATCAGCGCCAAATAGATTAAAGACAGGATTTTGACCTTTTTCAGCTATGATCTTGTAGTACGGAGATTATCAGTCCTATAGAGTTATTCATCGGTCCATGTCAAACTAACCTAATCGACATTTTTAACAAAATTGAGTTTTTAACATATCTGGAATCAGCGTACTTCACATATTCAAAGAAAAAAGTTTAGGTGCCAATATCACGAAAGTTACCAAAATGCAAATACGTTAGTTAGGACAAGGAAAGCAGTATTATTGCCATCACTGCTTTCATAAACAAAATATCAGCTTAATTAAATCGCTTTTACAGAAATATAATGCATAATGAACTCACCTAATTTGTCCAGCGAGCAATGGATTGATGGCGTACAGCCAGTCATGAACCTCTTTGTCGCCTAGTGTCTGCAGAAGGTAGCCACGTTCCTTGCTCACCACACTGCGAAGTAAAATGCCATATTGAAGTGTGTAATAGTATATCGGGTAAGTAGGCAATTACAAACAGAGAGATATTTAAAGCCCTGATATGCGAGAGCTTTCATGGCCCGGACGTTTGTAGTTGCTGTTCCGCCCGTATGGCATATAATGTTTTTCATGATACTTGCGAGGTAGTTGTTTAATATAATAAAACACTAACACTGTTTATTTATTTATTTATACACGTATGGACCGCGACGTGTGACGCAACGTGGGTGTCTGGTAACCGTCCTCGGAAACGCCGGTACATGACACCCTTCGGCCAAAAGTCCTCCTTCATGATCAGTTGGTACTCTCACCACAAATGAATAACATTCACATTATTTTACATGTAGCACAGTGGCAGTGAATACTGACCTGAATGTGTTGGGCATGCGCACCATCTGCTCCTGGTCTTCGGAGTATTCGACGTGCGCGTTGGCGAGGTTGATGACGGCGCGTTCGATGGGATCGCGCTCGTCGCGGTAGATAAATACGTATGGTCGCCGTACCACCTACGAATAACAATGTAATAATAATTATCCGTTCTCAATCTCAATTCCTTGTACTTAGCAACTGAATCCACCCTGGAACACTACTCAGAACACCCAGACAAGAAATCATTTACAAAAGTTTATTTGCAAATTGGCCCTACCGGGAGTTGAAATGCCACCGAACCACCGACGTCGTCACAACATAGATAAATCTGTAGGTAAGAGGTTGTCACGATGCTAACTCTTTCATCGTCACCTTTTCTCTGGTTCTCCTGGCTACATATTTTTGAATTTTGAATCGTTCTTTAATTCTTTTGCCTCGTCATTCTCACTTTGTTTCTTTCCATTCCGTCGTCACTCCAACTACCAAATGTCTAAAGCGAGCACTCCTGCTCGTCGTCACCAGAAATTCTGATCAGTTTATTACCAGTTTTCAATTAAATTCGTGTAACCTAACTAATATTAAAATACGGCCCTTTTGGGATAAGTTCTTTACTGTTCCACAGATGTTTCGTAGCATTTGGTTAGGGAGTGTTTTTGATATCGTACCTGTGGTTTATACTATTTTTATTGTTACAGCCTTCTTTTGCCTTTTACCTTTTTCTTCTGTCTTATTATACAATAAATTTATGTGGATCGAGTCGTCAATTTCATTACTTGCGACACTGGCGGTGTACAACACTTTCAAGGTAAAGGACCTTAAATCCAGGAGTTTAGGTGTTTTTATAAACACTGCTTTAGAATTGTAATTGATTCATCACGATGTTTTACCACGATGATATTCAATTATTTTTTGTGAAATTACTCCACGCACGTAGTTTCTCGAACACTAAGAAAAACTCGAATCAGCGCCTTCCAGCAATCCGTGCTAGTCGCTCTGCCAATTAAGTCACGGAACAAACCAACAAACCTTACAAATTTTCCTATGTGCTTGTTGCACATTTTTGTGTTTAACGACTTTTTTGCCATAGCCTTATCTGTGAGAAATCTATTTCTCCCAGAACACGCAATGGTAAAAGACATTAAGTCCTACCGTCGTCTGTTTTTTGCGTGGTTTTTTATTTAACATATTTTATTTAACTTTTAAAACACTGTTGTAAAAATTACTATTTGGCACTTAAGGTTCTTTAATTTCTAAAGTAACATTCATTTCAGCTTAGTAGGAAAGGGCGACGGTTAAAGTATGGGAATGAATGAGTAAAGACCTAAAAAGAATTGAACCAGTTTGTACTTACCAGCCAGCGTTTCTTCCATCCGTGTGTGCCGTGCTGCAGCACGTTGAGATATCCGCGGCGAGCCACAGCGGCCGAGACGCGAACTTCCTCGCACTCGGGTACGTACAATGCACCACCTGCGGCTCCACTCACTCCGCCCCACGCAGCCATCTGTTTCTCGAGGAGAAGACGCTCCGGGGAACACAACCTGTGAGGATTGCCGTATACGAATTTAAATATGGACGAAAAAGAAGCGGAGACTTGGCACTTTTTTGTGATAGCAAGTGACGAGACAAACGAGTCATGTGTCTGACGGCAAGCCAAATAAAAGCCTGTCCATAAAAGTTGCAGTACCACTCAGAGCTTTAAATCACAAAGATCTGAGGGGCACTGCCACTGCACCCGTCACTCTGTGATATAAGTTGACAAGTCCCATGTGCCTGTAATTTCACCAGCACTTTTACCTTTCAAAACCGGAACGCAATAATGCTCACATAGGCGGCAGAAGTAGATAATATTTTCCTGGACAAACGCTTTTACAAGGAGCTCTACTGTTACGACATAGTATTCATGCTTTGCATATCTCATACCCTTGTTATAATAAAGCCATATGTGATACGTCAAAACTGCTTTTATCACATTAAAGTCGTAAAAACAATACGAATAATTTAATGTAGAAACAAATTATGTACATACATGTGAAACCCATTTAAGCATAAAAAGTTATCGACCAATTTCGTCCGTGGAATCATTAAACCTCTCCTTATCATATTGCAGATGTGGCCTTATTGCACCAAGGTTCCGATTTCAAAAACAGGTTATTGTTAAGTGAAAAATTACGACCTCTATTTTCATATTTCAGTATTTATTTAACAGGCAAATAACGTTTTCTTCATACTTGCTCGTAAATGGTATAGATTACACGGTGGCTAACTTGACTATAATGCCTCAAATAAAACCCTCGAGCATTTTTTTCTTTCCATTACAGCCACGGTCGGTAAGAATTTTTTTTTAATTTGTTGCACGACATACTTCCTTTCACAGGCCAGGTTCTAGTGTAAGCAAGGAGGTTACTTAAGTTCAAAATTAAAACATTCGCTTAAAATGTTATCTAAACAGAAATTTAATTGCAATTCAGCCACATAGTACTTCAATACTTATTAATAAGAATTTCTTATAATTGATATTAATTATTTTCTATGTATAAATTTTGCAACTTTTTTTTACAATCCATCGTGGCTTTATGCGTGTTTGGTTTTTACAACATTATAGCTGAAGTGTGTTATCTATGGAAGAATAAAAAAAAACAAAAGCCGCTATTTGCCAAATTCATAATTGTTGTGTTGTGGAACCATATTTATATTGTATTTATTTCCTCGCCAAAGTGTTAAAAACGTTGTATGTATCACGGATGGCACAAAAATACAAAACTCGATTAATTAAAGCCCTCAGTATTTGGTTTCAGGCTTCTAATAGACCGTCGATCGTTAATAATTTCGTATTTGCCGTCCTTATTACACAATCTATACGACGAGGAATCTTAAAAAGAAGAAGAGAAGCGGACCCAGTGCTTTTTGTGCGTTCTTAACTAAGCACTGGACTTACAATGGGAAATATACTCACTCTATGCTGCTAGCGCTGTGTATGGACGAGAGCAGACTGGGAGTGGAGATATCTGCAGAGACGCCTTCGTCCACTGGCGTAGCTGGAGACACTGCCGTCTCCACCTCTTTGCCCGTTGTTCCTATTCTTCCTGCATTTATTAAATTTATTTTCAAACATATTGTTATAATAAACACAACAAGCAAAGAATAATAAAGAGGTTATATATAAGAAAGGAGAATGAGAAAATTTCGGTTCAAAACCTTTTTCTTGGATGCGAATAAAACCGGCCTTTGACTTTCCAACGGTTCCTTTTCCAACTGATGAACTCGTTTACTCGTTGTTATTTCTTAGTTGCTTTTTTAAACCCCTTGAATATAACGCAAAGTAAATAACATACGACGAGAATATTGGAGTGACCGTACCCTGTATGAGTTTGATGTATTTAGTGGCGACCTCCTTCTCTCGTGGCGTCATCTCCCACGGCTCGTAGACCGACTCGTCGCGCGTTGCGTGCGCGCATTCTGCCGCCGCCTTGGCCGCCATGTTGCTTACCTCCTGTCGTAACGTATACGTAACACATTGTAGAAGGCTTTAAATAAAAAATTGTTCAAGTTTTAAGTAAGGAAACAATCTCCTATACCTTCTCTGTCTTAGTAAAGTCATTGGGTGCCACAGTGTTCTCGTGACCATGGCGCAGGCGCTCGCGCAGCGAGAGGAAGTGCCGTGTGCGTCCAACCTGCTCTAAACGCGTCATCTTCTCCAGCTCCCACTACGAAATAATATGAAATAGTTAATAAACAGAAAGGAGTTACCAAAACGACGGAACTTTAGTTATAACTTTATTCTTCTAAAAAATGGGTAATATTTAGAAATAATTACGAATTTCCAAAACAGTGATACATCAGAGCACAACAATGAGTATTAAAAAAATTCTTGAGGAAATAAAAAGATGGCGCCTAAAAATCATTTAAGTCGTTCTGTAAATATTTGGCGTAACTTTCGAGAAAAAAAAACGTGCTATTTCTTAGACATAAATAGAAAGCGATAAAACAT